CCTTTCCCTAAACTCATGAGGATTTCATATATGAGAAAAAAAATGCTTAGCTGGCGCAAGAGCGCCTAAAGCAGTAACGGGGGAAACGCAGTCAGAAAACCTCATTAGGATTATGTTGCTCAGGTTATTTTTCAACAGCAGCATATTTTGTCTTGTTTCATGGGCCTGAAAATGAGCATAACCCTGGTCGGTTTACGGCATTAATAAAAAGCATCTTTACACTCCAATCTGATTAAAAGGCTTTGAGGCTGTCTAAATTCGGCTGATTTAAAGGTTACTAGGCAGGTCATATTTCAGCCCAGACCAAAGGGTTCAGTATTTCTGCACTAGATACCTGTGGCAGATCATATATCACAGTGCTGGGTAATCATATTAAATATATGTGTAGTGTTTAGTGGTAAAGCTCAGCTAGTGGACACTCCGTCCGCCGGACTCACTACACTCGACCCCCCCCGACCCTTGTCACCAGCGTCCCTTTGACGAGCAGTTGCTCTCCACAGCGCTAATTAAATATCTAAAATTAGCGTTGGTGCCCTTGACAGTGTCACGTTACCTTAATGCTGTAGGACACAGCAAAGAGCTATCAGCAGCTAAGGGTATACCATACTAGGGACATCACTGCTCCTGTACCTCCCAGCATCCTCTCTGAGGAGGATCTACACTGGTTGGACCTTGGCTGAGGACGTAACGATAGCTAACACACTTTTGTACATCGCACTGTTCCGTACATTTGACCTTATTTTAGCGCCCCCAAAACGTAATTCTTCCAGGTCAACTGTACTATGAATACCATTATAAAGCACAATTTCTCCCCTTTCCAGCAAAATCAATGACGAGACCTTCATGCTGCCCGTCTCTGCATGATTGAAAAAAGCAATGGAGCTCTGCTGGGTCTTTTTAAAAATGGAGGGAAGCGAAAGCTACTGCGCATTAGTGAAAGGGGGAGATATGTTGTGTGGGGAACTGGCTTTTTTAACCCGATTTGTCCAACTTATCACCACTAAAATGTAAATAAAACACTATAAAGAGTTGATATAATGTCTAATTACATACAGTTGAAGTCGGAAGTTTACATACACTTAGGTTGGAGTCACACGATTTTCACGGAAGAATACTGTACCAAGTTAGCTAGCTGAATAAACTAAGTTAGTCTATTCCTAGAAAACATTGAACCGCTGTAGTTTACAACAATTATAGTTTCTGAGGTGGAAGTTGGGAGAGTTATATTTGGGTGTTGTGGTGAGGGAGGCCCCGCTCTCTCCTTTCCCAGATGTTTAGTTCATTTCATTCCGATCTCCTTTGCATTATTGTAGCCATTTTCTGCAGCCTGTCAACTATGCCTCTGTCTATCCCTGTTCTCTCCTCTCCGCACAGGCTATACAAACGCCTCACACCGCGTGGCTGCTGCCTCTCTAACCTTGTGGTCCCTGCACGCACCACCCACGTGGAGTTCCAGGTCTCAGGCAGCCTCTGGAACTGCCGTTCTGCTGCCAACAAGGCAGAGTTCATCTCAGCCTATGCTACCCTCCAGTCCCTAGACTTCTTGGTGCTGACGGAAACATGGATTACCACTGAAAACACTGCTACTCCTACTGCTCTCTCCTCGTCTGACCATGTGTTCTCGCATACCCCGAGAGCATCTGGTCAGCGGGGTGGTGGCACAGGAATCCTCATCTCTCCCAAGTGGACATTTTTTATTTTTCCCCTGACCCATCTGTCTATCTCCTCATTTGAATTCCATGCTGTCACAGTCACTAACTAGCCCATTTAAGCTTAATATCCTTGTCATTTATCGCCCTCCAGGTTCCCTTGGAGAGTTCATCAATGAGCTTGACGCCTTGATAAGTTCCTTTCCTGAGGAGGGCTCACCCCTCACAGTTCTGGGGGACTTCAACCTCCCTATGTCTACCTTTGACTCATTTCTCTCTGCCTCCTTCTTTCCACTCCTCTCTTCTTTTGACCTCACCCTCTCACCGTCCCCCCCTACTCACAAGGCAGGCAATACGCTTGACCTCATCTTTACTAGATGCTGTTCTTCTACTAATCTCACTGCAACTCCCCTCCATGTCTCCGACCACTACTTTGTATCCTTTTCTCTCTCGCTCTCCTCCAACACTACTCACTCTGCCCCTACTCAGATGGTAATGTGCCGTCGCAACCTTCGCTCTCTCTCTCCCGCTACTCTCTCCTCTTCCATCCTATCATCTCTTCCCTCTGCTCAATCCTTCTCCCTCCAATCTCCTGATTCTGCCTCCTCAACACTCCTCTCCTCCCTTTCTGCATCCTTTGACTCTCTATGTCCCCTATTCTCCCGGCCGGCTCGGTCCTCCCCTCCAGCTCCGTGGTTTGATGACTCATTGCGAGCTCACAGAACAGGGCTCCGGGCAGCCGAAATGGAGGAAAACTAGACTCCCTGCAGACCTGGCATCTTTTCACTCCCTCCTCTCTACATTTTCTTCATCTGTTTCTGCTGCTAAGGCCACTTTCTACCACTCTAAATTCCAAGCATCTGCCTCTAACCCTAGGAAGCTCTTTGCCACCTTTCTCCTCCCTGCAGCTCTTTGCCACCTTTCTGCTCCCTGCAGAATCCTCCTCCCCCTCCCCCCTCCTCTCTCTCTGTGGATGACTTCGTCAACCATTTTGAAAAGAAGGTTGACGACATCCGATCCTCGTTTGTTAAGTCAAATGACACTGCTGGTCCTGCTCACACTGCCCTACCCTATGCTTTGACTTCTTTCTTCCCTCTCTCTCCAGATAAAATCTTACGACTTGTGACGGCCGGCCGCCCAACAACCTGCCCGCTTGACCCTATCCCCTCCCCTCTTCTCCAGACCATCTCCGGTGACCTTCTCCCTTACCTCACCTCGCTGATCAACTCATCCTTGACCGCTGGCTATGTCCCTTCTGTCTTCAAGAGAGCGAGAGTTGCACCCCTTCTCAAAAAACCTACACTCGATCCCTCTGATGTCAACAACTACAGACCAGTATCCCTTCTTTCTTTTCTCTCCAAAACTATTGAGCGTGCCGTCTTTAGCCAACTCTCTTGCTATCTCTCTCAGAATGACCTTCTTGATCCAAACCAGTCAGGTTTCAAGACTGGTCATTCAACTGAGACTGCTCTTCTCTGTGTCACGGAGGCTCTCCGCACTGCTAAAGCTAACTCTCTCTCCTCTGCTCTTGTCCTTCTAGACCTGTCTGCTGCCTTTGATACTGTGAACCATCAGATCCTCCTCTCCACCCTCTCCGAGCTGGGCATCTCCGGTGCGGCTCACTCTTGGATTGCGTCCTACCTGACCGGTTGCTCCTACCAAGTGGCGTGGCGAGAAGCTGTCTCTGCACCACGTGCTCTCACCACTGGTGTCCCCCAGGGCTCAGTTCTAGGCCCTCTCCTATTCTCGCTATACAGCAAGTCACTTGGCTCTGTCATATCCTCACATGGCCTCTCCTATCATTGCTACGCAGACGACACACAACTAATCTTCTCCTTTCCCCCTTCTGATAACCAGGTGGCGAATCGCATCTCTGCATGTCTGGCAGACATATCAGTATGGATGGATCACCACCTCAAGCTGAACCTTGGCAAGACGGAGCTGCTCTTCCTCCCGGGGAAGGACTGCCCGTTCCATGATCTCGCCATCACGGTTGACAACTCCGTTGTGTCCTCCTCCCAGAGTGCAAAGAGCCTTGGCGTGACCCTGGACAACACCCTGTCGTTCTCCGCTAACATCAAGGCGGTGACCCGATCCTGTAGGTTCATGCTCTACAACATTCGGAGAGTACGACCCTGCCTTACACAGTAAGCGGCACAGGTCCTAATCCAGGCACTTGTCATCTCCCGTCTGGATTACTGCAACTCGCTGTTGGCTGGGCTCCCTGCCTGTGCCATTAAACCCCTACAACTCATCCAGAATGCCGCAGCCCGCCTGGTTCAACCTTCCCAAGTTCTCTCACGTCACCCCGCTCCTCCGCACACTCCACTGGCTTCCAGTTGAAGCTCGCATCTGCTACAAGACCATGGTGCTTGCCTACGGAGCTGTGAGGGGAACGGCACCTCCGTACCTTCAGGCTCTGATCAGTCCCTACACCCAAATGAGGGCATTGCGTTCATCCACCTCTGGCCTGCTGGCTCCCCTACCTCTGCGGAAGCACAGTTCCCGCTCAGCCCAGTCAAAACTGTTCGCTGCTCTGGCACCCCAATGGTGGAACAAGCTCCCTCACAACGCCAGGACAGCGGAGTCACTCACCACCTTCCGGAGACATTTGAAAACCCACCTCTTTAAGGAATACCTGGGATAGGATAAAGTAACCCTTCTACCCCCCCCCCCCCCCCCCCCCCCCCCCAATTAAAATAATAATAATAATAATAATAAAACATTGTAAAGTGGTTATCCCACTGGCTATAAGGTGAATGCACCAATTTGTAAGTCGCTCTGGATAAGAGCATCTGCTAAATGACGTAAATGTAAATGTAAATGTAAAATTAAAACTCGTTTTTCAACCACTCCACACATTTCTTGTTAACAAACTATCGTTTTGGCAAGTCGGTTAGGACATCTACTTTGTGCATGACACAAGTAATTTTTCCAACAATTGTTTACAGACAGATTATTTCACTTATAATTCGGTGTATCACAATTCCAGTGGGTCAGAAGTTTACATACACTAAGTTGACTGTGCCTTTAAACAGCTTGGAAAATTCCAGAAAATGATGTCATGGCTTTAGAAGCTTCTGAAAGGCTAATTGACATCATTTGAGTCAATTGGAGGTGTACCTGTGGATGTATTTCAAGGCCTAACTTCAAACTCAGTGCCATTCACCACACATACAGTACTACCACCCATCAGAGAAAAACAACAGCCTGTAAGACACCCATAATGACTGTGTACATCCCTGTAACCATTTACTGTACATAACAGGATGCTCTACACTTTCCTTTTCTCATCCAGTAACCATAGGGATGCGTTAAGTAAGTACTGCACTGTGAGTGGTTCGGCGACACTTACTCTTTTGTGCTCATGTTCTTGTGGTGAATGGGTGAGATGCACGGGGGAAGAAGCATGGAGTCTTTCTCCAACCGTAACTTCTTGCTCCTGCCGACAGCGTCACAATGGTCAGACTGAAGAACAACCACACAAATAGCATAGTCAGCATTGAACATACTACCAGCACGTTCTCACTGCTCCTCCATGGACACACTCCAACCATTATCCTACATACCAATACCAGCTAGTACCGAGAGAAAAAAAGAGTGAGAAAGGTTCTGCACTTGCCTTGTGTTTCCTCTTGGCCTTGCTAGGGGGTTTCTCAACAGGGGTAGACTGTAGACTGGCAGGGGACTGGCGTCTGTGCTTGGCGCTGGGTTCCCAGGGTTCCCGGGACTCAACCTTCACAGGAGGGGGCTCAGGGGGGTCCTGTCCTGGGATTCTAGACAGGAAGCTCAGCTCGATCTTCACCCAAAGGGACTTGATGTCCTCAAAGTCCCTGAGAGGGGACAGCAGTTCATTCTGGACGATGGGGACAGGGAAGAAGACGGGTTCTTCCAGTAGGTCCCCAACCACACCAGGGTCTGGGATGGAGATGGAAGTGCTGCAGGTGCTGGTAAGGCTACTGACACTCAGGATATTGCTGTTGCAGTCCTTGGCTGCTTTGAGAGTCTGCAGGCTGCTGGGACCTGGGCAGGGAGGGTTAGGGACCTTGATCAGATCCTCTGGTTCAGAGTGGCACTCAGACGACGAAGACTCCGTCTCGATGAACTCCTTGGACTTGGGGATGATCTTGCTGGGCCCCCTGTGCTTCTTCTTGTCCAGGACTGGGGCTGGGGGAGGATGAGCTGGAGTAGAAGTAGTGGTAGTGGCGGTGTGAGGTTCCTTCCTAGGGGCAGCTTTCCCACTGGTGCCCTTGGTCCTGGACTTGGGTGGCTCCAGAAGAGGTGGAGGCTCCTTCTCCTTAGGGGTAGTGCTGATGGAGGTGTTGATGGGCTTGGACCAGGAGCTGTGTTCCTCCAGGCTGGACGAGCGTTCCACTTTCTTCGGCTGCTTCTTTCCAATGCTGCGTCTGGCTGGGGCCGTCTCCACCGCCACTGGGGACTTGACCTTTGAACTCTTGCCCTCTGAGACCTTTGGTCCAGTCTTGGGTTTGGCCTTCTCTCGGATGGGGCTGAGGAGGGCCCGTTCCTTGGCGTCGGTCTGGGCCAGCAGGACGGTGGGCCCAGGCTTGCTCTTCCCTGGGGCCGGGCCCTTGCTCCCAGGGGCCTGCTGGCTGTGGTCAGGCTGGGAGCTGCTGAGCCCATGGCTCTCTCTCTCTGGCTGGTTACTGATAAGTGCTTTGTTATGTGGGGTCACTTTGTTCAGCCACTTATCCAGCTGCCATTTGTTTGTTGGAGGTTCAGGCTGTATGAGGAAAGAAGAAGAAGAAAGGACAAAGAATTACAGGTAGATAGATCCAAGTTTGGTTTGATAGTAGACTACATAGCTTCATAAAACACTGTGTTGACTCATGAAAGTAAAATGTGATAATTCAATTGTCTCTTCAGAGTTATATGTTATCAAACCAATGAGCCAATGTCATGATGAAGAGACCATTAAAATAGACTCTCAGAAACTCATGAATGACTGAGTAGTGCTCCCATATTGTCCTTGTGCTAGTCTCCGACCATGCCACCTCACATTGTTTGTTTTCTACCATTATGCCCCTCGACAAGTACAAATGTTTCATATGAAATCATAAATACTGTCTTGAATGATCTAAATGATAGCAAATCATCCGGAAAGGAAGTGCTGGAAATGAATTGACTAAGGAATGAAGCATTAAAACCGGCTAACACATACAGTCTTCATCTCTGAAAGCCCCAGCCTTTACATCCCATCAGTTGGGGTGGTGGATTTAAGCTGTTCTGGGACGGGGGGATTTTAGGCTTAAAAGGAACCACAGCAATAATACATTAACAATCTAACATGGCTTCCGGAGAACTCCTGGGTTTTTAGTAAAACATCAGTAGAGTGCACTTTGAGAGGGAATGAGACATCCTTGAAGACAGACAGGCCCGTTTCCTGGCCCCCTGGATGTTCCCATTGGCTGTTCCCTGGTGGACAGGAAGTAATATGGCCTGTAGAGGGCGCCCAAATGCACTGTGGTAAATATTTACCCGGGTCTAACACTCAGAGTGCTCCTCTGTGGAATATTACTCTGCCTGGCACATGAGCTGCTTTAGCTGCCATGCAAGTCTCCAAGTCTCTTTACTACCATCAACTGCAACAACCGGGAAAGAGGGAAAGTTACTACCACTTTTTCCTTGAAAAATAAAGTCTGCTAGTTTAATCCTATCAAAATGATAGTGTAGATAGGGTTTTCATCCCTGGATCAAAATGGTGTACTAGTGTTTCTGTAGCCCAAAATAATAGGATCAATGTTTTCCCCTATGGTATAACACTGGTTGAGTATTGGTGGATAGCACAGTAAAAAAAAAAAATCTGACTGTGCCGGTACAATACAGTAAGGAGGGATTGTGTTGTACCTCTGGGGTGGCGGTCCGGGAGGCCCCGTTACACTCGCTGTCACTGGAGCTGCTCTCACTGTCTGAGTCCGACTCGGAGCTGCTCTCTGATTCACTGGAGCTGGCCGAGGCGCCACTGAAGCGGCCCGGGTCACTGGTCTGAGACGTGGCCACAGGGATGCTGGGTAGGAGAGATCAAGAGAGATAGATAGAAAGAACGAGAGAGAAGAGAGAGAGAGAGAGAACATATAGAGAAGGACATGGAGAGAAAAAAAGTATATATGTTTTCATAGATAAACATTGACTGTGTGATAGACAAAGCTTTACTTTAGCTGTTCTCCTCCAGCCTCATATTCCAGAAGCTCTACCTAGCCTCTGTGACCCTGGACTGTGACCCTGGACTGTGACCCTGGACTGATCTCATTCCACTGGAGTGTGTGAATAATGCACTGATGCGCTGTGACGCAGCTTTCTTTTGTGTCATCGTTTTTCTAAGAGCAGCCTTGTGTTCTGCCTCATGTTCGGCGCCAGCCACACGCCTGGCCTCGTGCTCTCTCTGCTCAGCACTCAACGCCGCGGTGCTGGCTCACTCAGCAGCGACACAGAGTTGGACGAGATGAGTCCGCCTGTCATTGACATGACTCCCAGATCCACACAGCCTGAAGACAGCAGGAGACAGCCCCATCAATCACACAGCATCATCTCTCTGTCTCTCTCTCTCTTGCTCTCGCTCAGAATTGTAATAAGGCAAACTGTTATTCAGAGAATAATGCATCTGACATCTGATAATCAATTTAATCAAACACAACATATAACTGCAGAACAAAGGAAATTGACATCATGCTTTATAATAAGCAATTTATTCTCCCTATTGAAAGTGTCAACGCTAGACTAGCTGAAGAAGATGTTGCAGGGGCGTATGGTACTGTGGGCCTGCTGTAGAAGGTAACAGCTCTAGCGATTGATGATAAATGCCTCCAGGAGACCGTTTGCTTTCTCACCTCCTACAGACTTATTATTCCACACTCTTTCAACTCTCTGTCACACTACTGGTTCTTCTGTTGGATCCGCTTTATAACACAATAAAACCCACACTACTGAACACAGGAGGTTGGTGGCACCTTAATTGGGGAGGATGGGCTCGTGGTAATGCCTGGAGTGGAATTAGTGGAATGGTATCAAATACAACAAACACATGGTTTCCATGTGTTTGATGCCATTCCATTCGCTTCGTTCCAGACATTATTGTGAGCCGTCCTCCCCTCAGCAGCCTCCACTACCACTGAAGCCATCAAAAGACACTCCATCCACTACAGCCTAAAGACTGGTTATAGAGGACCTGAGACACACTGGACAGGACAGGTGAAATTAAACAAGATGTATTTTCTGTCAACACCCCATTGATTTTTCTGTGACAGGGTGAGGGGGCATATGGCAGCTTGGAGATCAGCGCTGGGACATAGTGGTGGCACTAGGCTCTGGGACATAGCGGTGGCACTAGGCTCTGGGACATAGCGGTGGCACTAGGCTCTGGGACATAGCGGTGGCACTAGGCTCTGGGACATAGCGGTGGCATTGGCTCTGGGACATAGCGGTGGCATTGGCTCTGGGACATAGCGGTGGCATTGGCTCTGGGACATAGCGGTGGCACTAGGCTCTGCAGTGAAACAGAGCCATGTGTCAAATAACTACACTGTGCCATGGACCAATAACCATTTACTAACATGTCCAGCCTGTCTGAGCCAGGTCAAGTCCTTAGAGGAGTAGCCAACTCTCCTGCCCCCAGGGCTTGCCTAGTGGCCGTTTGGTTCCAAACGCTGGATTGCAGTACAGAGCTGGAGAGAGCCGGACCATTGGACTCTGAGGCTCACAGCCAGTTCAGGTTAATGATTAAAGATAGAGGCCAAGGCCCTGTGGGTATAGTGTGGCATGGTGTTCCTATGCCCTGCCCTGGCAGTGCCCACCGCTGCCCGCTGCCAGTAGGATGGCAGAGCAGTAGGAGGACATGGCATCTTGTCCCTTGCTCTGCTCACGTGTTCAAGTCCAAGCGGCTCCTGGGAGCTGGGCCAGCACAGCACCACTGTCTGTCTCTCTGTCTGGGCTAGCACAGTACCACTGTCTGTCTCTCTGTCTGTTGTTCTGTCTTCATTAGCTGAGGATGGTGCCAGCAGAAACAGAGCCAGTACTAGAACAAACCAACAGTAAAGGACCTTCTATCTACACATCCCACTCTGAGATAACCCTACCTGAAATGACAAGGCAACCATTGACAGATCCATGGAGTACTAGTCTAGATCTTACATACATTGTTTACAATCAATTGTTAAAGGAATAGTTCTAAGAATACACTATTTTTCTACATTCAAAATACTTTTTATGTAAGTAGAATTACTGTGGCATTCTCCAATACCCAAGTGTTGTCCAACTCATTCTCTGGAAGAAGAGATGTAATTACTATCCTAGGTCCCATTAAAGTGTTTAAAATAGACCTCTTGGAGACATTCTTACTTTCATCACTCAGTCTCTCCAAGTGGTGCTTGTGCATTTAAATAATTCATAAAAGGGAAGCGCTAATGTTCTATTTCAGAGCGTGAAGAACTGCAGCGGGGTAAGGTCACTTAATTTCCTTTGTCCACTTGATGGAGGTGAGCCTCAGCTGACAGCTGATAGAATCCTGAAAGGGGCTGGTGTCTTTAGAACAATGGCTGCTGTCTGCTTTCAGTGTGTTCACCTCGGTGTAGCCTGCTAACCTCTGACCTGCTAACAGGCTCTGCTCTCAGAACACTCTCCTAACCTCTCTAACCTGTCTCTCTCATGTCGGTGCTTGCAACAATGAGCTACCTTTCTCACAGCAGACAATAAAGACATTTAGAAAAAAATCATCCTCTGTCCATGGAACTTGCTGTTCCATCCAGAGTGATGAACTTCATGACAGACAGGGGTAAAATAATGACTAATTTGCTGGCATAATACATAATCCCGGTCATGCTGTGATATAACCGGTTCACATGAAGGTTTTTGACAAACAACAGAGAAAACAAACAAACAGTTGCATACGTCTCTAATGCAGACAATTACTATAATGTGTTTCAATCACTGGGGTTCAATGGGCCACACGCATCTCACACATTTACATTTGAACATCAAACGTGGCACTATTAATCTACTATAATTTAAGTAAATAAATGAATGGCATTCATAATTAATGGGTTTTCCAATTTCCTCCTCATTCCAAAACAAACTGGATGGAGGGCCTTTGGGAACATAATGTTCCCTGCGAGCCAGTCTGACAGACTGGGAGTGGAGGAAGGAAGTGTCTCCCCAGCAGAGAGACAGTCGCCCCAGGCAAACCCCAGGCAAACCCCAAGCTCCACACAAGGACCTCTGGGAATGTGAGAGGAGGATACTCTAAAATCAACAGCTTCTAACTCACCACACATTTCACACACAGTTCCAGTGCATATATTTAACCATTTATGCCAGCTAATTCACTTGAGTCTTCTAGATTCTTCTAGGAGCTGATCTGTCCAAGTATAGATTCACAGTGAGTTTTAAAGAGGGGGGCAGCTCTAGCGTACCATTCCATTCAGTCACATTATCACATTTTCTACAGTTATGTACAACTCTTTGAACAAGACGCTGCCAGACAGACCCAGACAGAATCCTGATGTAGTCATTACACAAACCAAACGACTTGGAGCATTCATTAAAAATGTAATAAATAAGTAAAGTTAGGATATTTAGAACTGTTTACACCATAAATATTCAACGTTTAGTAATGAAGCAATTTTCCAGGCCAGTGCAATTTGGAGAAAAAAAATTGGGATATTTACAACTCACAATATATCTCTCACTCACTCATCACTCACTAACTCACTCACTCACCCAACTCACTCACCCACTCACTCACCCCACTCACTCACTCACTCACTCACTCACTCACTCACTCACTCACTCACTCACTCACTCACATACAGTGAGGGACAGAAGTATTTGATCCCCTGCTGATTTTGTACGTTTGCCCACTGACAAAGACATGATCAGTCTATAATTATAATGGTAGGTTTATTTGAACAGTGAGAGACAGAATAACAACAAAAAAATCCAGAAAAACGCATGTTAAAAATGATATAAATTGATTTGCATTTTAATGAGGGAAATACGTATTTGACCCCTCTGCAAAACATGACAAGGTACTTGGTGGCAAAACCCTTGTTGGCAATCACAGAGGTCAGACGTTTCTTGTAGTTGGTCACCAGGTTTGCGCACATCTCAGGAGGGATTTTGTTCTACTCCTCTTTGCAGATCTTCTCCAAGTCATTAAGGTTTCGAGGCTGACATTCGGCAACTCGAACCTTCAGCTCCCTCCACAGATTGTCTGTGGGATTAAGGTCTGGAGACTGGCTAGGCCACTCCAGGACCTTAATGTGCTTCTTCTTGAGCCACTCCTTTGTTGCCTTGGCCGTGTGTTTTGGGTCATTGTCATGCTGGAATACCCATCCACGACCCATTTTCAATGCCCTGGCTGAGGGAAGGAGGTTCTCACCCAAGATTTGACGGTACATGGCCCTGTCCATCGTCCCTTTGATGCGGTGAAGTTGTCCTGTCCCCTTAGCAGAAAACACCCCCAAAGCATAATGTTTCCACCTCCATGTTTGACGGTGGGGATGGTGTTCTTGGGGTCATAGGCAGCATTCCTCCTCCTCCAAACACGGCGAGTTGAGTTGATGCCAAAGAGCTCGATTTTGGTCTCATCTGACCACAACACTTTCACCCAGTTCTTCTCTGAATCATTCAGATGTTCATTGGCAAACTTCAGACGGGCCTGTATATGTGTTTTCTTGAGCAGGGGGACCTTGCGGGCGCTGCAGGATTTCAGTCCTTCACGGCGTAGTGTGTTACCAATTGTTTTCTTGGTGACTATGGTCCCAGCTGTTTTGAGATCATTGACAAGATCCTCCCGTGTAGTTCTGGGCTGATTCCTCACCGTTCTCATGATCATTGCAACTCCACGAGGTGAGATCTTGCATGGAGCCCCAGGCCGAGGGAGATTAAGCATGGAGCCCCAGGCCGAGGGAGATTGACAGGTCTTTTGTGTTTCTTCCATTTGCGAATAATCGCACCAACTGTTGTCACCTTCTCACCAAGCTGCTTGGCGATGGTTTTGTAGCCCATTCCAGCCTTGTGTAGGTCTACAATCTTGTCCCTGACATCCTTGGAGAGCTCTTTGGTCTTGGCCATGGTGGAGAGTTTGGAATCTGATTGATTGATTGCTTCTGTGGACAGGTCTCTTTTATACAGGTAACAAACAGAGATTAGGAGCACTCCCTTTAAGAGTGTGCTCCTAATCTCAGCTCGTTACCTGTATAAAAGACACCTGGGAGCCAGAAATCTTTCTGATTGAGAGGGGGTCAAATACTTATTTCCCTCGTTAAAATGCAAATACATTTATAACATTTTTGACTTGTGTTTTTCTGGATTGTTTTGTTGTTATTCTGTCTCTCACTGTTCAAATAAACCTACCATTAAAATTATAGACTGATCATTTCTTTGTCAGTGGGCAAACGTACAAAATCAGCAGGGGATCAAATACTTTTTTCCCTCACTGTACATATGGGAGCAAGGCTATCTATCTATCTATCTATCTATCTATCTATCTATCTATCTATCTATCTATCTATCTATCTATCTATCTATCTATCTATCTATCTATCTATCTATCTATCTATCTATCTATCTATCTATCTATCTATCTATCTATCTATCTATCTATCTATCTATCTATCTCCCATGGGATCATTAAGGGTCAAAACAAGGCCAAACTCCAGTGATCCCACTGCCCGGGGCTGGCTGAATTGGCAGCTTTAGGAACAGTCTGCTATCGATTTGTGATTTACACTGATACCATAATCCTAGATCAATAAGGCCGATAGCGGAATTGATGAGGAAAGTGGTGGAGGGGCTAGCCTCCAGCCTCAGACAGTGGAACTAGAGAGAGAGACAGCAGGAAGAGAGAGAAGAGACAGATCTATCAAAAGAAGAGGCAGGCAGGGCTGGAGGCTAGCCCCTGAAGGTGGTGGGTGGTGGAGAAGAATCATTAAAACCAGACCTGGGTACAGACAGAGTACATCTACATGTTGGAGGGAGCCAGCTGACTGGCTGCTGTAACGGTGAGTCAGTTGAGACATGCCAGTCCCTTGCTTCTTCCTTATTTGTTTGTAGTTTCTAATGATTTAAACATCTATTGCTCATGAGGCGCTGGGCAACCCTGAGCAGGTTACATTACTATTCCCTCTTATCCCCCAGAATACCATATTCTGGAGGAAGAACTGTCATTTTCTACTCTTCAATAAAGTCTAATCCTTAATTATAGATGAATAAATTCGGGCAGGTCTATAGAGACAGAAACCTATGCTGGTGTTTTCTCTCTCTCTCTCCCTCTCTCTCATTTAATCACCATGACACTGAATCACCCCAGCCTGGAATCTGAGGACGCAGCCGCTCATTATTAGATCAGTCGTACTGTACTGTATGAAAGTTGGTGTGAGTGATTTTGTTTGTCTGTGTGTAGTACAGACTGTATGTGGGAAAGAGAAAGAAAGAGAGTGAGCGTGAGAGCTGGACTG